AAAACATTTACACACCAAACTATTATTAAACCAATAAAAACAAAAAATGAGAGTTATATAAAAAAGACAGTAATATAATGAGGATTGAAGAGGAAAAAACAATTTAAATTGTAAGTATGCGAAAAGTGTAAATGATTATAGCAACAAATAAGCTAGATCTAACATTCGTATAAAAGACAAGAAAATATACAAATATAGTTTCTTTTAACATATTAACATTTTGATTTAATAGTTAAAGTTTTAATGAAAGATTTTGATATTTCTATTCCTAATATTTTTATATACAGTGCCGGCTACTGAACGTTTACCAATACACTTTCAACAAACGAAAACTACAAGAGATAGCACTAAGGCAAGCAAGAAACGAATAGTACCAACGTTACAACGCGGGTCGGGCCGTATAATCTGACACCGTTGTTATTAATCATTTCCTGCTCACTTTATTAATAACTCTCTGTAGTTTTCACACGCACTTGTGTAAGGCGTACTATAAGACGTTTGATGGCCGTTACTGTATAAAAATGAAATGGTTAAAGAGATATTATAAAATCTCAGACAAATAAATAAATGTCTATTGTTTTTATATTGACTGCTGTTCTTACGAATAGATCTTAATGTTATGTCATTTCATTCAGGTGCTGTAATTGTTGTATTTAATTTTTTCGGTGTAAAATAATGATTACTCATACATAAATGGTAATATTACCTTCAGCATGTCCCATAACTGGTATATGTTGGCTTTGTTGTTGAATGTTACGAACCAGCTCACTAGAACCACGTGGAATTATAAGGTCGATGTGTTGTTCCATGGACAATAAGTCACTAATTTCGTCTCTGGTTGAAACCTGAAAAAAATTGTATTTTTGAAAATTTGGAAAAACCTAGTTATAATTATTAATTACAAATTCATAAAACACGAAACATGTTTTCTAAACTGAAAACTTTTAATTAGTAGAGTTTTATACTCCAGACTTTTAAATTGTGGACTGTTAAATTTCCTCTCCTAAATGTAGCCTCTTAAACTTTGAACTTTTAAACTTTATACTATTGAACTCAAGATTTAGACTTCTAAATTTAGACTTTTAAACTTTAGAGGTAAAAGCTTTGGACTTTAAAGCTTTTAGACTTTCAATCTTCAAGCTTTTAAACTTTTAAAGTTTTGATTAATAAAGTATATATCTCTTTAAAGCTTAGACATTTAAAGTAAAGATTTCAAGCTCATAATGTAGAGTATAGTCATTTAAGCTCCTAATGTAGAGTTTAGACTTCAAAGCATATAATGTAAAGTTTAGACTTTAAAAAATAGAATTTTAAGTTAGAACTTCAAAAAATAGGCTTTTAGAGTTTATACTTTAAAGTTTAAACTTCAACGATTAGATTTTACAGTGTAGACTTTTAAAGTTTATACTTATAAAGTTTATACTTTTAGATTTTATGCTTTTAAATTTTGTACTTTCATTGTTTATAATTACCTTTAAAGTTTAGGCTTTTAAAGTTTAGAGTTTCGAAGGTTAGACGTTTTAAAGTTTAGATTCTTAAAGAATATACATTTTAATCACGCAAAAGTCCTATATTTTCGAAGTCTATTGATTGTTTTTTGTTGATTTAACACTTAATCTTTAAACTTTGAAACTTTATACTTTTAAAGTTTAGGTTTGTGAATTTAAACTTTTAAAGTTTTGACTATTATAGTAAATATCTCATTAAAGTTTGGACCTTTAGAGAAAAGACTTTAAAGCTTATAATGTGGAGTTTAGACTTTCAAAAATAGACTTTTAAAGTTTAGGCTTTAAAAATATGCTTTTAGAGCTTAGACATTAAAGTTTACAATGTAGCGATTAGATTTAAGTGTTTAGACTTTTAAAGTTTGTACTTATAAAGTTTATACTCAAGAAGTTTAATACTTATAACGTTTATTCTTATTAACTTTATACTTCTTTTAAACTTTATACCTTTAAAGTTAATACTTTTAAAGTTTATAGTTTTAATGTTTGTACATTTAAGTTTATTACATTTAAGGTTTGTACTTTTACAGTTTATACTTACTTTTATGCTTTTAAAGTTTATATTTTTTATACTTTTAAAATTATACTTTTGTACTTTTAAGATTTATACTTTTATTTTTTATACTTTTAAGTTTATACGTTTATACTTTTAAAGTTTATGCTTTTAAAGTTTATACATTTACAAATTATACTTTTAAAGTTAATACTTTTATACTTAATGCTACTAAAGTTTAATTATTTTATACTTTGAAAGTGTATGCTTAAAGTTTAAACGTTTAAAGTTTAGGCTTTTAAAAGTATATACATTTTAGTCCTGGAGTGAAAACTCCAAACCCTATATTGTCGCAGTCCATTGATTGTTTTTTTGTTTTGCCACGTGACTTCATACTAAAACAGTGTATTTGAAATAAAAATGAAAACATTACACTTAAAAATAACTATTTAAAACTTACTAGAGATATTGCAGTTTCAGCTCTAACAGTCTTCAAAGCTTCGGTTACAAGCGCCATAAGTGCTTTATTACTGTGAGCAGCCTCTTTTCCACCTTTAAGTAGCAAACCGTTTCCAGATGCAATGGCTAAAGCGGCAACCTGTGGCAGCGAATCAGGTCTGGATTCAAAAATAACCATCAAAACTCCGATGGGCACAGTTATTTGCTTCAACATTAAACCATCGGCTAGCTTGGTTCTTTTTATCACCCGTCCAACGTTATTGTGACTGCTGTCGGCAATTTGCTTCAAACCAACTGCTAGGTTCTTCAACTTGGCTGGAGTGAGGGAGAGTCTGGATAGAAGCGGTTTGGCTAAACCGGATTTAGTTGCTTCGGTGAGATCTTTTTGGTTGGCGTCCAAGATTTCGGCTTGTTTTGATATAAGAAGATCGGCCAACGTGTGGACACATGAAGCACGTTGATCTGGAGTAATAGTTGCAAGAATACGACCACCATTACGAGCTGAAAATCGTAAAAATAAATAATATTAATCTTGAAATCAAAATTAAAGCTGAACATCAAAATGTCGTGGTTTTGTGGATCTTTGAGATTTTATCAGATGGGAAGAAATTTTTCAGAGAAAAAGTATGTAGGTTTTAAAAAAGTTGTATAGATGATAAAAGTGTATAACTGGTATATGGTGCAGATGAAATAAAAGAAATAATAAAAAATTAAAGAAAGTTTTATTTCAATAGAAATATTGGTTACTTGAATAATAGAAATGGCAGAGTAGTAGAAGATGTGCATATAGTGCAGGTTAACATTGTAAAAATAAAAAAATAAAAGAAACAGGTAGAGTAGTAAACGGTTGGGGTAAGCGGACACAAGTGGGAACAATTAGTAAGCGTAGGAGTGAGAAGAAAAGATTCAATAGGGAAAAAATTTAAAATTTGTTATTTTTTTTTTTTTTATAAAATTTGGTATTAATTATTTTTTGTAACTACCCCTTTTGAGAATGTTTTTATAAAATTGATATACAAGGTGTTTCTGTATCAAGTGTCGACAGCCAACGTGGGGCGAGGTGTATAAAAGGGAGATCTAAATTTTTGAATATTCGAATTGTGGAATTTGGAAGGAAAACTGGTAAGATTGTTTATAGTTTCCTTTATTTGAACTGTTGATTTTGGCATATTTTTGTTCGTGATGTTTGTAGAGTTTAGGCGATAAAAGTATATTTTGAATTAGAATAGGGTGTAAACAGGATGGAAAGTTTAGAAATTTTGGGTGGGATTTAAGTAGGGGGAAAGTAACATTAAATTGAGTAAAATTTAATTAAAGCCAAGTGTGCATATGAAAAGTAATAGTTTGTGTAGATGGAATATAAAGTGTTTATAAAGGTTGTGAAAGTTATACATTAGATGGTCAGGCGAAAAGGAAAGAAGGTTGGTTTGGTGGAAGAACAGGAAACAGATGATAAGAGCGTGGAATAAATAGAAGAAGGAGATATGGAACAGCAAGGTTTAGAATATAGTTAGTAAAGAAAAATAGCAGCAGAAGGAAACCATAAGGGAAGAAAAAGATAGAAGTACATATGAGCTAAAGGAAGAAAGAAATAATGCCTTAGTGAGGATGGTGCCTGAATTGAGTAAGTAAATATTTAAAAACAGTAAGAAAATGGATGAAATCAGTATGAAAACGAATAAATTAGAAAAAGTGGATAGTAAAATTGATGAATTCGAGAAAAAACAGTAAGGATGATAAGAAAGAAATTATTTTAATAATTAAAAGTCACATTTAAAAGAGCAATAATAGGATGGAGGAAATTAGAAAATAAAAACTTTAGAAGTAATAAAGAAGAAATAAATATAGAAGCAAAGGATGTTGAAATGAACATATACATTGAAGAAGAAAATATAAAAGTATAAGAGGTAAAATTAAAAATAGAAGAAGAGAAAAATAAAAAGACAGATTCTGATTGTGAAAAAAGAATAAAACAAAATAGAATTGAAGAATTAAAAAGAAAATTAGAGGATGAAAAGAAAACATTTCAAGAGAAAAATAAAAAACAAGATAAAGGAGAAACAAAATAGAATTAGGAAGAAGAAACATAAAGGTATTATAAACAAATAAAACTAAAACAAAAATAAACACAGGACGATGAAATAAAAATAAATAAAAATATTAGTGATATTGAAAAAATCTAAAACTATTAGACTAATAAAAATAAATAAGAAAAGTAACTGTAGAATAAAATCGAAACAGTTTCAAAATAGTATAAAAGGAAAATTAGATTAGGTAGGGGAGAATGGGGGAAAATATTTTAAAATCGGAGGTTGATAGAAGAGAAAAAAAGTTAGGACAAAGGTGAAAGAAATGTAGGAAAATTTAGATGGAGAACTTTTGAATAAGCAAAGAAGAAGGAATTAAAAAATAAAATAGTTTGAATACAGGAAAATATGTGATTTGTGGAGATAATAATAATATAATAATAATACTCTCCCTAATTCACCTGCTTACGAGTGAATTTTAACTTCAAAAGCTGAGATTGTGCGGGGAAAGGGACGGCTATTATTATTATTTGCCGTGGCGCTCCGGGGCGACTTAAAGATAATTGATGGTGCCATTTGACTTACAGGTGAGGAAAATCCGGAAAACCCCACCCACCATCATCGAAAACGGTAGCGAATGGTGATTTAATTTTACTAATCTGGATGTCATATCAACAAAAATTAAATTTCTGCTAATATGGCATCCATCAAATCCTATAGAGAACCATGCAAATAAATTCCACATGGTCTTCCATAGGATCTGAAACCCTTGTCTAGTTTTACCAGAAAATTGGCTGACCAATGAATGCCGCGCCGTAGACACCTACACCAATGTACTCGATGAACTGGAATAACTGGAATAACTGAATGTCCGATATTAATGAATTAATAGTAAGGTCAATAGTTACATTTTAAAGAATTTGGAAGATTGTTATTTACAAGGAGCAGGGCCGACGAGAGGGGGGTAGCCGGGACGCGTAAATAGAAAAGCTACTTCAATACGTCCCCCAGGCCGTGAACAACTAGGGTTTTTATGCGTTATTCCTGCAGAAAACCTACTTAAGTATAGCCCCGGATGGTGCCGTATTGAAGTAGGATTTTCCGGTCCATACGCGGACGTAATATTCTGTAATTGCTACTTCAGTATGGCAAGTGTTTCTTTAGTGGTTTTGTTTGGTTATGTTTATTAACAAAAAGTGAATTAACAATATACCCTACCAATAAAATAGAAGAGACTGTTGAAACATTACTTAGTGACTATCGAATCGTAAAAATAGACGCTCAAAGTAACGAAAGTTATACTGTGTCTTTTCAATGCAAGTTGAGTGGTGAAAGCTATTATGCAAAATGTGATAAGTTTATACAGACTTTTTCCAATATAAAAAAACTTATATCTACAGTAATTTTCCAAAGAACAACCCACAACTACCTTACGCCGAAGAGCTAAAGATACCTATTTCAGTTAAGGTGTCAAAAAGCAACCTTTCAATATTAAAAATCATTAACAGTATGACAACAAATATTAATAAACTATGCAAATACATATATGTTTTTTTTTGCGCATGTTTTGGCAGCGTAATAATGCGCAATCCTACTCCAATACGGCACCATCCGATGATATATTCAAGTAGGTTTTCTGCACGATTAACGCATAAAAACCCTAGTTTAGTTGGTCACGGCCTGGGGGACGTATTGAAGTAGGTTTTCTATTGACGCAGCCAAGACAAATTCCTAGGGCCCAGGCAAGAGTGGGGGCACGGAAGTGGCACAAAGGGGGACCGGCAGCTTTAGGTAAGGACGTTTTATTTTTTTAGAAGTTTGCCACAAAAGGGAGGAGCGCTGGTTTTTGTAAAATACAAGATGAGGATGTAAGTTTTTGCTTGAGGACCTTTTTTTAGAAATGTGATATTAAAATTGTCGCGTGCGCCACCTGGGAAATTTGTCCCAGGGCCCCGCCTGGCTCTCGGCTGCCCTGACGAGGAGTATTTCATGTACAAAATTTGTATAAATATGAAGTATAGATTTAGATAGTTAGTTATTGAATTAGAATAGAGCCAAATCAATATTTCATATGTGGAAAATAGGATCAATCGGGATAATTTGAATATTTTGTTTAAAAATTTAAAATGTTGAAATATAAAATTCATTGTTCCTGGTATATTTTAGATATACACTGGATAAACATATAATTAGGGGATTTGATACAGACATTTTTGTTAAAAATTGAATGGTGAGGTTTCTGGAAATCAAAATTAAATTAAATTCAGTCAAACAGAAAAGTAAAATGATTTTAAAAAGTTACATAAATGATAAAAATTGATAAGAGTTGTATGGTGGAGATGAAATAAAAGAAATAAGAAAAGAAAAGTAAAGAAAGTTTTATTTTAATAAAAAGAAGGGTAACTTGAATAAAGGAAATGGCAGAGCACTAGTAGAAAAGCACATTGGTGAAGGTTAACATTATACAAATAAAATCATTCAAGAAACAGTCGGAGCAGTGTTAGGTATAGTAAGCAGTAGAGACAAGGAGTAAGCGGACACAGATGCAAACAACTAGTAAGAAGAAAATATTCAAGAAACATTTGGTATTATTTATTTTTTGTAAATTGTTACCGAACCACCCCTTTTAAGAGACTGCGCAAATTTTTAAAAAAATTATATGCCAGGTGTTTCTATTTCTATATTGTTTGAAAAAAGTGATAATGGTATTACCAGTTTTACTTTTATACTTTATATTTTCATAGTTTTACTTTCATACTTTACTTTTATACTTTACTTTGATATTTTACTTTCATACTTTACTTTTAAGCCTTACGTTCAGACTTTACTTTCACACTTGAATTTTATACTTTACTTTCATACTTAACTTTTATGCTTTACTTTTATACTTTACTTTCATACTTTACTTTCATACTTTACCTTCATACTTTACTTTCATACTTTACTTTCATACTTTACTTTCGTACTTTACTTTCATATTTTACTTTCATAATTTACTTTCATACTCTACTTTCATACTTTACTTTTATACTTTACTTTCATACTTTATTCTTATACTTTACTTTTAAACTTTACTTTCATACTTTATTCTTATACTTTACTTTTATACTTTACTTTTATACTTTACTTTGATACTTTGATATTTTACTTTCATACATTACTTTTATACTTTACTTCCATACTTTATTTTCATGCTTTAGTTTGATACCTTACTTTCATACTTTAATTTATACTGTACTTTCATACTTTACTTTTAAACTTTACTTTAATTTTTTACTTTCCCACTTTTCTTTCACACTTTTAATTCTGTAAATAGTATAATATAGTTTGTAGCGAAAGTCTTTTGGTACCGATTCTGGAATTCTCCTCTGCCAAATTTAAAACGCTTTCTATATTTCTTAATGTTCGTTTTGTTTTCAAGAAATTGAGCTCGTAAAACAGTTTCAAATACCCCTATTCTTTCTACTGACAGAAATCAACTAGATTCACTTTGGGACCAAATTTCCTAGTCATTAATTACCCAAATAATTTTTGTGAAATTAACAGTATTTCTATTATTTATTTTGCAATTTTTTCTTCATTATATATTTTTTTAACATTTTTTAAGTTTGTTGCTTTTAATATTGTCCAATATTGTCCTATATTGTTCTATATTGTCCTTAACTTGCACAGCTGGGACGAATCCTCAAAAATTGATTTGAATCACGAATCCGAATCACGAGATGTGATTCGAATCACGGATCCTATGTCCGAATCCTTTTTGCAGTAAAAAAGGATTCGAATCAAGTGATTCGAAACCATTTTTTCGAATCACGAATACGAATCACGGTCAGTGTCATACCATGGTATTATGTATGCTTTCGAATCTAATATCAATATCAACTATGTGTCTATTACGGACTATGATTTGCATACAAACGGTTGATACAAGAAGATGTTGAAAAAATAAACCTATTTTTTTTTTTTCTATAAATATGAACCTTAATTTAGGATTTTTTTATGTTGGATATTCATTGTTAATTTGTAATGTCAAAGAAGGCAACAGAGCACCTAGACGATTTTGAGTTGAAACCTATGCCATATTTTTAGGCTATTTTTATGCTACTCATTATTTGTAAAAATCAAGGTGCTCTGCTAGCTTCGAACGAAGTCAGAAGAGCACTTCAGTTTTTTAAGTGTTTTCCGAAAACAACAACACAATATTATTTTTAGGCAATTTTTAAGCTCTTAAGCTATTGCTAGCTTAGAACGAAGCCAGTAAAGCAAATTTGTTCCAACAAAGCACCCTGTATTTAAAAAAAAAACACTCGTAAAGTTTTAAAATATTTCAAGAGCCTAAAAATAGCCTAAAAATGCGGTGTTGTTTTTTTTTATAAAAAAGTCTTTAAAAAACCGAGGTGCTTTGCTGACTTTGTTTCAACAAAGCACCCTGTATTATTTATAAATAGCAATTTTTTAGTAAAGTTTTTAGAAAAAGCTTTAAAATAGCCTAAATGTATGGCATAGGTTTCAACTCAAAATTGTCTAGGTACTCTGCTGCCTTCTTTGACATTAATTTGTAGATTGTTACGTTTATCTTCTAAATATTAACAAGTGATCTTCAGTCTCAGTCTGTTTCAGTTTACACTTCGCGACATGTCAAAGCGTGAGTCGACCGTTCGCGCCGAATCCCAGGATTCGAATCCTATGTGATTCGAATCCTCCCCAGCTCTCTTAACTTGTACCTTAACATTAACTTGCAAGAATATTTTTTTATTTTAAAGACTAAATGTTCTACAGAGAGTCCCTTTTATGTAACAAATTATTTGAGGAATATTTACAGGAATAAATACAGGGTGTTAAAAATGTATGGATCATAATTATTTTCTTATTTCTTCATTCTATGCTAATGATTTATGGTAATTTATCGAAATAAAGTGTAGTAACTAATTATGGCGATTAACTATATATGTGCACAATTTTAAGTTAAAGTTTTTACCCTAAGGAAGATTATTTAGAAAATTATTATCTGTTTAATGCTCTGTAGAATGGAAACTGGGATAATTGCAGGAAAATTACATTAAGCTTTTCTTAATAATTAGTTATGATTACAGTACTTCAACTCAAAACACTCTGTATAATATATTTACCATTTTCTGCTACAGTTTCTGTAGGCACCGGTCCACCAAGACTGTGTTCTGTGAAGAAAGTTCCCACTTTTCTTCCAGAGAGGATAGTTTTAATTGCTTTATCCAACATTCCGTTGCAAATGACAACGGAAACACCTCTATCCAACGCCCAAGTCGCAGAAGTAACTTTAGAATCCATTCCACCAGTTCCAACTTTAGATTTCTGTCCAAATTCGATGGTGTGTCTTAAATCTGATGTGAAAGTGTGCAAGAATTTTGCGCCTTCTTCCCAGGGTGGTTTGTTGTAGATACCTGTAGGAAACATATTATAATAATAACAATGATTAAGCTCTATGTCCCAAGTATGGTTGATTTAAAAGTTCATAAGAACAGTCGCTATTATCATTCTCCGTACTTACCATCTACATCAGACATCAAGATAAGAAGATCAGACTGGATTTCTGCAGCCAACATAGCAGCCAAACTGTCATTATCCTTTAAGGATATTCCCTTCTTTCCTGGTCTTCCTCCAATCGGTTCGTCAATTTGGGGTGGAGGCGAGACAGCATCGTTGGTGTTGATTATTGGTACTATATTTAGAGTTATAAGTTCTGATAGGGTACTCATTAAGTTTCTACGGGTTTCTTCGTTGTAAAAGTCTGCTTTTGTGACCAATACTTGTGCGATTTTGACACCGTATTGGGAAAACATGGCGTCGTACAGAGACATGAGACCAGATTGGCCTACAGCAGCTGCCGCTCTGGGTTCGACAAGTGCTGGAGCATCCTAAAAAACCGAAATATTTAATTACGTTTTCTACCAAATTCTATTTATTTATATGTATATTTATTTACAGATAATTCTGTCTAACAAATACATTAAAAAGAAAAATATTAGCAGATAAACTTTAATACATCAAATTACAAGTTTAAAACAATTACATATTAAATAAAAGAAGGGGGATGGGCTAAACATAGCAAACAAATAGCGGACCTTTTTGCAGAACACCTGGAAAAATCATCCAACATAACAAATCAAATATAGAAAATATTCTAGAGGAAATATCAATAGAAGAGAAAAACAAGTTACTTGAAAACTAAAAATAAAGAAAAACTTAAAAATGTTCCTGGTCACTATCGCATTCAATGAGGAATGGGAAACTTCCGAGAAAAGTCACTTTGAACTATCATCACACCTACGAGTATTAGTTTTACAAATAAAGTTTTCAAAGTTCTTCTTGAAGATCTTTTTCTTTGCAGAGTTTATTGATTGAGGTAATGAAAATAGTATTGAAATTTTAAAATTAAAATGATTAATAAAAAATAGTTGTATCCTAATAAGTTCTAAAAACAGGTCACTAATCGCCAGGTACAATTTTTTTGTCCATCAACCCATTCGTCGACACAAAAACATGCTTGTAATATCATCTTAAATTTAGAAAAACCGGTCTTTAAGCTAAATCTTGAATTTCGTTGGAAAACACAAATATCCGGTCACATGCATGAAATCCCTACACCGGATGTAGCAAAACCGGACGACAGAAAATGTTGCAAAGAAATTGTGTTATTGCTATAGACGTCTAGAAGGATATTATTTTATTGCCAGCAAAAAACAAAAAAATTCATTGATAAGCAACTTTACTCTAAAGTTTACATGTTACACAATAACTTTAAAGCGCCGGAACATAGTATATTCCACGTTTTGTCAGATGAGGGAATATAAGAAAGTGGAGGTTTAATTTAACGACTAAACCAATATTTGTAGTATTTTTTACTAGTTAAAGTTATGACTGAGTCTACGTAACATAATGAGACCGACATTTATAAATCGGTTGGTCCTACTAAGCTATAATACTAACTAACTAACTAAGATCTCAAATTGTAAATTTAATATATCGTACATCGGAAATTGAAATCCTAAAGGTCAGAAATATCTAAAATAAGTTCTTAAATAATTTGAAATAAATTCAGAAACAAATCTCAAAAATCCCCCTACGAATTATTAAGACCATCCATGGACCCCAAATGTAAAATTAAATACTTGTAGATTAAAAAAAAAAAAAAAAAACCTATCATTGCCGGGAGTCGAATCCAGACCTCCACGTGTGCCCTTACCGTAAGGCTATCAACGACATTGACTGTCGAGATTCCTTAACGGAAATTTAAAGTGTTAGTTCTAGCCAGACGGTGTTCAGGTTTATTCTATTCTCAAATCTACAAATACCTCCAATGCAGCATTGGTTTATTGAGGAGTGCAATTTTAATACATACTGAGCTCATTATTCGTCTTCGTAAGTTAAATTTTTAATGCACTGTCCGGCTAACGTGGAGGCCTTGGTTCGACTCTCGACAATGACAGGTTTTTTGTTTTCAAATCTACAAGTATTTTTTTTTCACATTTACGGTCCGGGCATGGTCTTAATAATTCATAGAGGGGTTTTTGAGATTTGTTTCCAAATTATCAATTATTCACAAATTCGTGCTTAGGTTTACGTCGCTTAACGTGCATTGAATACTACGCAGACGAAGAATGAGTTTAGTATGCATTTCTAATTGTACCTATGCTGAATTCTGCATTGAAGGTATTTGAAGATATGAGGAGAAACCTGAACATCGTCTGGCTAGAACTTGCATTTCAAATTTTCGTTTAAGAATCTCGACAGTTGTTAGCCTCATGGTGAGGGCACACATCCAGCAAATGTGGTTTGACTCCTGGCAATGACAGGTTTTTTTAAATCTACAAGTATTTCTTTCCACATTTGGGGTCCGGGGATGGTCTTAATAATTCGTAGGGAAATTTTTAAATTTGTTTCCGAATTTCAAATTATTTAAATTAATGTCTATCAATATTGATAATTAGGAATTTGTTTAAAACACTATATGAGAAACTGTCCTCCTAGTAACAAGTGATTGCAAAGAAAAAGTACTCGCTTCTAATAAAGCTAATTTTAAAGGCACGTATTCTCAAAAAATTATTCTGAATACCTCCAATTTGACTTCAAGAGCATTGCATGGGTTGCAAATAATCGAATAGTAATATACTTGCAATCTTGCTAACACAATACATTGTTTTAAATGCATGAACAGAAAAATCAATGGAAGAACTAGAAATAAAACCTAATAATTTTGATAAATAGATTTTGATATTCATCATGACCCCTAGATCTTTGATGTTATCAATCTTTGATATTGTTAAATCGATAATCAAGGGTAATATAACAAAACCTTGATAAATAGTCGACTATTTTTAGTGTATCTGAATTTTGAGAATGTTTGATATCAATTTGTTGGGAAATAATTTTGTCATTGATAATCTGAATAGAGTCCGATATAATTATGTTGAGACAAATTGCAAAATACACGAAAAATTTAGTAACAATAAAAATAGGCGCTAATTTATTAAGGTCGATTTATATTTTATAAGATTATTTCTATAGCCCTAAATGTAACTTAAAATAATAAATACACAATAAAATTACTTTTATTTTCGATTTTTTTTGAAACGTTCCACAAGATATTAGCTTGTACTTTGATAAATAAATATATTTGACAGTAGCCGTTATTAAATATTATACATATAATCAAGTATGAGAGTTGCTGTCAATGTAGGTGAATATCCAATCATAGTCGATTTGAAATAGTAAGTGAAAATAGTCGATTTATTTGATTCTAATTGATTCTAACGGTAACGTAAATTGCAATGTGATTTGTTAAAATGTCAAGGTTGACAGGCGAGGAAAATAATCAAGTACACCTTTGCTAAAAGTTATGAAAAAGTATTTTTTCTACGACCGTGTATTTTTACCCACTTTCCCGCACGCATTTTAGTTTTGAAAGTGTCACTTTCCCGCACTAGTGCGGGAAAAAATCACTTTCCCGCACTAGTGCGGGAAAGTAAAATTATGAATATTTGGCCTTACCTATTGTATAGTTTTTTTACCTCGGATTTTATTACTGTTGTTATAATAGGTAATGTAGTATTTTCCAACTATTCCATTTAATAAAATTTACTTTTTTTCTTGCTTTTTGTTATAATTTTAATTTTTTGGAAAACTTGAATAATAGAGATATTTTTATATACCTTCTGTATATTTTTAAAAGTCAGACTAGGCTGTGACATGTATGGCTTGATATGGTTGCTATATGGTAACCAAGGCGTGTTATTGTTACAAAATCGTCAAAGTTGTTTATTGAAGCGTCAACTGAATTAAAATAAATTAAAGAAATAATGGATTCATCGGATGAAGAGCTGCCCGAAGCCATTTTAAAAGCTGCAAATGAAGCACATTTGGAGGTGTTACCTGCCAAATCACGAGGAAGATATGAAAAACAATACGACCATTTTGTCACATGGTATAAACAGGAAGGGGTAAAAACCTACAAAGAAGAGGTGTTTCTGGCGTATTTTTCACACCTTAGTAAGTTTTTGAAATCTAATACTTTATGGTCTCGCTATTCGATGGTGAAAAGTTTAGTAAAAATAAAACAAAATTTGGATATAAGCCAGTTCCATAAGTTAACGTCATTTCTAAAACAAAAAAATGTTGGTTTTCGAGCACAGAAGGCGCAGGTTTTCACCAAAGAAGATATATCCAGGTTTATGTTAGCCCCTGATGAGGTATACCTTATGATTAAAGTGAGTACCATTTTTGCTTTAGCTGGTGCTCTCCGCAGAGCGGAGCTTGTAAATATCACTCTCGATGATATACAAGATAAAGGCAATCTGATAGTTGTGAAAATTTCCGATTCCAAAAATCATTTTTCAAGATCATTTGTTTTATGTGAAGAAATAAATAATGGAAACTTTCTGAAGCTGTACAGAAAGTACGCAGGTTTACGACCACCTACCACTCCGCATCGCCGCTTTTTTATTAATTATAAGAAGGGAACATGCTCAATTCAGTGCGTTGGCGTAAACACCTCTGGTAAGATGCCAACAGAGATTGCTGCATATTTGCGTCTACCTAATCCTGAACGATATACAGGACACAGTTTTAGACGTTCTTCAGCAACATTCCTAGCAGACTCAGGTGAAGCGATAACCAATATAAAACGTCTCGGTGGCTGGAAGTCCACTACTATCGCTGAAGGCTATTTGGAGGACTCCGAAACACAGAAGAAAAACATTTCGAATAAAATTCTTTCAAATAGAAATGACTTGCAACCTTTGCTGCCACCGTCATTTTCACCTTCATGCGACCTGCAACCGATGTCACTCCCGTCCACGTCATCTTTTCAATCTACGAGCGTTACGACTATTAACAGCCAATTAACACCAACTAATTCCTCTGTACAGGCAATTTTACATAATTTACAAAATGCTACAAATTGTGTATTTAACATTAATATCCATAATAATTAGTTGTTTTTATTTAAAGATTTGTATATGTTGAAATAAAATAATTTTCCAAAAATAATTTTTCCTACTTTTTTGTATATACGGTCGTAGAAAAAATAATATTCCTAACTCATGCGTAAAGTGTCTTTCCCGCTTCGCGTCGTTCGGGCCAACTGCAGCAGTCGCGTGCGGGAAAGTAACACTTTCCGCACTTGTTAGGAAAATAACTATTTCGACGACCACTACAGAAAATTATAAATTCCGAATTGTTTTTTAAGGGTCAAAGTAGGCAATTCCGTACACATTCATAATTAGTGTGGAAATAAATTGTCGTATAACCTTTAGTATAATTGAAAAAACAATATTATATTTTAAGGACATATCTATTTAACTAAATATTTCGTCGAATACTACAAAATTCAGTTAATTTAGAAAAAAACTTAAAATAA